AGTTACAAATATCCGAGGCATGCTGAGGATATTTTTACTTTTATCAACGAGTGTTGATATATTCATATCAGAAGACATGAAGGTGGGATTCTATTTATCATAAAAAATCACTTTTCATTAGTTTTCAATGAAAAATGTACATCTCTGAACACGGTTCTGCCATTAGACTTGCAGTGCAGCGATGTCATAGCATTGTGACATCATCAAGTTCATGATGTCATAACCTTGTCAGGGCATTGTACAAAATCTACTGTCAAAATGATATCTCCTAGGAGATATTGTTTGATCTCACACAAGCAGTATCTCCTGTGGAACACAGTTTTGGATGATAAACTGTTTTCACTACATTTCTCCCACCTTAAATTCAGCTCTATCTGGTGTAGAGCCAGTTTAGCCCAGTTTACAACAGCCTAGCGTTGTCATAACAGCTGCTCTTGTATGCTGCAAAACACATATTGTTTAATGTTCAAGTTGTCTTGTTTCCTGCCATGCATCAGTGGTTAAGTCAAGGTGTTCAACCATTACATTGTCTGTTATCTATCATGGCTGTTGTTAACAGTGCTTACATAACTAATTTAAGTACGGCATGGGTTCCATGAACATGCTGACACTTCCCATGTCGATTGTTACGTGAGCGGTGACGTCTATCAATGTCACCTGCATGTTAATGTCACCGCATAATGTAACAGATCAACCTCAGTTCCTGAGTACAGAAGACAATGTTGGAATCATTTAAATTTATTATTCTACTTGAAACAAGCTGAAGAACAAGCTCATCTGGTAGTGGTGGGGGTGGTGGGGTGGTGTGGTGGGGTGGTGGGGTAGTCTAGTGGTTAAAGCATCGCTCATCACGCCGAAGACCTGGCTTCGATTCCCCACATGGGTACAATGTGTGAAGCCCATTTCTGGTGTCCCCCGCTGTGATATTGCTGGTATATTGCTAAAAGCTGCGTAAAACTAAACTCACTCACTCACTCACTGGAAGTGAGATTATCTGTAGTCATATCAAAATAATTGGTTGTACTTTCACTTCCTGAGTAGAATATGTATACGTTGTGTTAATCTCTGCTCTCATTTGTTCAGTTTTCTCACCTTTTGGTATTTTTCAAAATAAATCAGTTACATTCTAAGACTATTTGAAATAAAATATTGTTCTTTGGGATTGTTGACTTTCAATATTTTCCTCATCTGCGAAAACCAACCTGTCAGATAGTGTCTATCATCTTGAACAACAAGACTTCCTTCTTAGTTTTGGTTTGTAGCAACAGAAAATATAATTTGTAACAAACTGTGTGTCATGTATAATACACATCTCAAGAGAAGTTAAAGGACCAGGTGTCATGTTTAGTATACTGATGAAGAGCAGTTAAGAAAGAGAATTACAAGAACTACAAGAATTCCTTCTTTTTTTGGTTTGTAGCAACAGAAAATCTAATTTGTGACAAACAGCGTAGTACACATCTCAAGAGAAATTAAAGAACCATGGTGTCATATACATGATGTACATGGAGTCCTGTATTTGAGGGTCCCTGGGACTCATACTATTAATTTTCAGGGGTTTGGACAACAAAATTGGGGTCCCAGACACTTAAATATTATTTTTCTGAGTCCCTGTGGATGTGCTAATAAATTTAGTTGCGTCCATTGTAAATTTTTATGTGTATTTAGAGTATACTGAATGGAACGCAGGAATTAGTTTCATGTAAAATCCCTGATATAGTATACAGCTCAAGAGAAGTTAAAGAACAAAATTTGTATACAACTGAAATAAATCTGTCATGCCAGTAACTCTAGTCACATGACAATGTTGTTTCGGTGTTGTTGTTTATTGATTCCATCTTGTGAATAGTATATTTGGTTCCAGATAAGTCATTATGTTAAACAGAGATCTGCATCTGACAAAGTCTGGAATACATTTCCATTGTGCTGTAATCCTATACTCTTACTGTGCCTTTCTTCCATAGACTGTTCAGCTTTGTGAAAAGCTGTTACTATCATCAAGCCAGATTTTAAATTAAAAAACAAAAATAGTGTGTCATCATCAAAAATTATCATGAACATGTTTCATACTTTCATAATGGGGCATCAATCATGAACATGTATTTGGTGTCCCCACGGTGATATTGCTGGAATATTGCTAAAAAGCGGCATGAAACTAGACTCACTCACTCACTCATACTGTTCATGGGGCAGTGGGGTAGCCAAGTGGTTAAAGCTGCTCGGTCGTCACACCGATGTGAACCGTATTTCTGGTGTCCCCATGGTGATATTGCTGGAATATTGCTAAAAGCGGCATGAAACTAGACTCACTCACTCACCATACTGTTCATGGGGCAGTGGGGTAGCCAAGTGGTTAAAGCGTTCGTCGGCCAATCGATGTGAACCGTATTTCTGGTGTCCCCACGGTGATATTGCTGGAATATTGCTAAAAAGCGGCATGAAACTAGACTCACTCACTCACTCATACTGTTCATGGGGCAGTGGGGTAGCCAAGTGGTTAAAGCGTTCGATTCGTCACACCGATGTGAACCGTATTTCTGGTGTCCCCCACGGTGATATTGCTGGAATATTGCTAAAAAGCGGCATGAAACTAGACTCACTCACTCACTCATACTGTTCATGGGGCAGTGGGGTAGCCATGGTGAAGTGGTTAAAGCGTTCGGTCGTCACACCCGATGTGAACCGTATTTCTGGTGTCCCCCACGGTGATATTGCTGGAATATTGCTAAAAAGCGGCATGAAACTAGACTCACTCACTCACTCATACTGTTCATGGGGCAGTGGGGTAGCCAAGTGGTTAAAGCGTTGGTCGCCACACCGATGTGAACCGTATTTCTGGTGTCCCCCACGGTGATATTGCTGGAATATTGCTAAAAAGCGGCATGAAACTAGACTCACTCACTCACTCATACTGTTCATGGGGCAGTGGGGTAGCCAAGTGGTTAAAGCGTTCGGTCGTCACACCGATGTGAACCGTATTTCTGGTGTCCCCCACGGTGATATTGCTGGAATATTGCTAAAAAGCGGCATGAAACTAGACTCACTCACTCACTCATACTCATACTGGTTCATGGGGCATGTGAACCGTATTTCTGGGTCCCCACGGTGATAAGTGGTTAAAGCATTAGACTCACTCACTCACTCACTGTTCACCGATGTGAACCGTGGATTTCTGGTGTCCCCACGGTGATATTGCTGGAATATTGCTAAAAAGCGGCATGAAACTAGACTCACTCACTCACTCATACTGTTCATGGGGCAGTGGGGTAGCCAAGTGGTTAAAGCGTTCGGTCGTCACACCGATGTGAACCGTATTTCTGGTGTCCCCCACGGTGATATTGCTGGAATATTGCTAAAAGCGGCATGAAACTAGACTCACTCACTCACTCATACTGTTCATGGGGCATTTCTGGTGTCCCCACGGGATAGCCAAGTGGTTAAAGCGTTCGGTCGTCACAACCGATGTGAACCGTATTTCTGGTGTCCCCACGGTGATATTGCTGGAATATTGCTAAAAGCGGCATGAAACTAGACTCACTCACTCACTCATACTGTTCATGGGGCAGTGCATTGCTGGAATATTGCTAAAAAGCGGCGCATGAAACTAGACTCACTCACACCATACTGTTCATGGGGCAGTGGTAGCCAAGTGGTTAAAGCGTTCGGTCGTCACACCGATGTGAACCGTATTTCTGGTGTCCCCCACGGTGATATTGCTGGAATATTGCTAAAAAGCGGCATGAAACTAGACTCACTCACTCACTCATACTGTTCATGGGGCAGTGGGGTAGCCAAGTGGTTAAAGCGTTCGGTCGTCACACCGATGTGAACCGTATTTCTGGTGTCCCCCACGGTGATATTGCTGGAATATTGCTAAAAAGCGGCATGAAACTAGACTCACTCACTCACTCATACTGTTCATGGGGCAGTGGGGTAGCCAAGTGGTTAAAGCGTTCGGTCGTCACACCGATGTGAACCCTATTTCTGGTGTCCCCCATGGTGATATTGCTGGAATATTGCTAAAAAGCGGCATGAAACTAGACTCACTCACTCACTCATACTGTTCATCATTTCATCATGATTTGAGCTGGAAAATTGCTGAGTCCAATGTTAAACAACAAGCAAAGAAACAAAGAAGCAAGCAAACCATGATGATTAATGTGCATACTTTGATCAGCTGATATGAGTAATTATGACAACGTTTTCCATATCGAACAACTAGTCAACAGTGTGGAACATCCTCCTGTAATGTATTGACATCTCCCATGGCATTAGCAGGCGCCGAGGACAATGATAAAACAACATAATACTGCCTTGGACCATTAATCTGAGACTGATTACATTACAAGACATTTCTATAGAATTCTCTGCATGAGTAAGTTGTGAATGTTTCATTTAAAGGACTTGCTGTAATGTGAGACATTGTTTGAACTCGTAAAATACAGGTAACATGTTATTTCCGTTGAAATCTACATCTTATCTTCCACATGGTATCAAACGTTCAGAAGCTGTATGGAATAAAGAAATATGTGTAACATGATATTATCCATGAGAACACAGGAAATAAGGTGTTGAATAATTAATGTTGCGTGTCCATGCTGTGCATGTAGCTTTGTTTTCAACGTGCGATATGGTAGTTGTGACTGAAGTTTTTAAGTACAGCTTTACTTATCTAATATTTTAAACTTAAGGCTTTTAAAAAGCTACCGAATCTGTTCCAAATCAAGCTAAATTTATGGTTGAAGCCTAGTAGTTCAATGTCATTATGACCGTAGTGTATCAACAGTTTTTAATCTGAAAAGATTCAAAATTTTACAATATTATGGGATGTTAGAAAATATTGGATTTGTGTTATGTAGAATTACGTTTTATCTGTAACTAGTTTAAGGTTTAGTTTCATACATTTTTATACATTTTGTGCAACTCGACAACTGTTGCTGAATTTAGAGTTGACTTATTCACATTTAAGACATTAGGGATTTGTCAAATCTTTGTCATACCTGTCTGAAGTGTTGTCGCAGTGTATGGCGTCAATTATCTGTCCATACAGGTAGGTCTAGTCCCTTCTCCAGGTGTTGATTATGAATATTGATGAAGTAGCCAGGTACACAGCTCCGTACTTCCGTCACGTGTTGTCTCGGGACAAGAAACTGGTACACTGTTGGCTAGAGTGTCTCAATGCAAAGACTCAGGTGTCTCGCATCATGGGGTTTGTGGCTCATGCTTGACCGACCAGGCTCGAGCTTCTTTGACGAAAAATCAATTGCTGATGTAGGTCGCCATGTAACAGGGTTAGAGAAACACTTGGATGTTGAGGTGACAATGGGAGATATATCGAGTGTTGTGATTGGTTCAATTCATTCTGTGTCTCTGTGTGATGGAGATTGTAACTATGGTGTAAAGAGGTTTATTTGCTCTGATTTAATTGACATGATTTCTACAGTAGAAGGCTTGTAGGTCTAGATTGGGGTTTATATACCACATTATGACCAGTACAAATATATTGATGAATTATTTCTTTTTACATCCATGCATGTAGTTCTTCTGTCAGTTTCAAATGATGGATCAATAAAACATGGAGTAATTGAGTGACTTGGGGTTTTACCTGTTTTTAGCAATATCGCAGTGAGGGACAGCAGAAATGGGCTTCAACCATTGTACCCATGTGTGGAATCGACAAGCGAACACTTTAACCACAAGGCTACCCAACTGCCCCTTTACTCCTTATTTTTAAAGCTGGTGGTATTAAATGAACTGTCTAGTGTATATGCTTCCAGCCTTTTGCTTTTAATTTTCAAAAACAATATTGTGGAAAACTGGTTTGTTTTTTTAAATATATACTTGACAAAGGTATTACATTTTCTTTTTTGCAGCTGAGTAGAAGCAATTGAATAAGAAATACAGGCAATGTTTGAAACATTTGTTTTGAAGCAACAAATCGACACTTTAAGCAATCAGATTTAGAGCCAATTTAAGAGTTTGAAATAAAAAGATCTTGTTGTTAACTTAAGATACTGATTTGGGGTCCAAATGTTTTAAGGAATAAAATTCATCTAATAGAAGACCTGATTGGAAAGGTGTGTTTTTCACACTGTGTCAATACTTGTGTTATCCTTGGCCAAACAGTGATCTCCAACAATACACAGGACAATTATTAAGATATTTACTTATAATTTTCATTTCCAGTTGTTATGAATGTTGTGCACAAGTGTTACATCTTGCAAGTATGTGATGTGTGATCACCAAATAAAACACACATTGCAGGTATTGTGTTGGTTCGTTGAGCTGGTGATAGTTGGAAAGGAAGACAGGTAATAAGGATAATTTTCAGAATTCTGATATGTTTTAGTATTATTGAATAAAATAAAGCATTATGAAGATGTTTACAAAATTGGGATAGAAAGTTGAATAAATGACATCTATTTAATGTATATATCCATATTTTTGTTTTTTGTTATTTAACACTGCACTCAGCATTATTCCAGCTATATGGCGGTGATCTGTAAATAATTGAGTCTGGACCAGACATTCCAGTGATCAACAGTATGAGCATCAAGCTACGCAATTGCTATATACTTATGAAACAGCAGTGTGATTGCATGAAATGAAACATACAGCATTGTTTTGTCATCAACACCTGTCAGTGTTTGATTGTTTTATGTATTTATTTATAGTGTATCAACAGGTTAGATGGAAGGGCCAGGCTTTATTTTAAACAAGGTTTAACTCCCACAACTCCAAAAAATCAAAATGTGAACAAATATCAAAATTAAGTCTAAGGGTGTTGTGGTTTTTTTAATGACAACCAAAAATATGTAAAATGTTTAATAGACCAAACCTCATTTACTATGGTTTAATCAATATAAATAATTTATTTAGAATACTGTAATTTAAACCTTTGAATATTTTTCTCCCTTGTACAAGCCTGTCACAGAGTATGCATTTAACACCGGGCAATCGGACAAGATCATATAACCTGGTATGACGACACTGTATGTGTGAATGTTCTGGCAACAGGAACTGAAGTCAACAACACCACTAAATCCTATTGCAACCTACATACATTCATTCATGCATGCATTTATTTCAAACCTGAATGTATCAAAGTAGACCCAAATGTATTTTGAATACAGAGCATGGATTGAAACCTGTCACACAAGGAGTCATGTATAGACAGATAATGTGAGTTAGTAGGTTTCAGTTATGTTTTTTTGTTAAAGTAACGACTGAAGATGATATTTACTCCAATAACCATTAAATATTAATGGATATCCATTTCACGTGGGATTTATCAGTCATAGTGAACATTTCTGGATCACAGAAAGTTCTCGTGTTTTATCAAAAGCTTTGTGGAGTGAACTATAGTAATAATGTCCTTTCCTTCCTCCGTGCTATTTTAAGTACGGGCTAAAAGGTTAGTAGCCCTTGCTTGAGCAACCCCAAATTGGTATATGTCTACTTGAGCCCCATTAGGTATTGATGGGACCTAGGGCAATGCTGGTGGCCTTCAGCGACTGGTCAGCATGTCTTGTGGGCAGGTGGACTTCCATTGTGAGGAGGTTATCACCGACCCCCGGAGTAAAAGCAGGAGTTTGTGTAATGGCCGACGTATTGCCATCACTGAACATATAGAGAGGGAGGGACCTATACAAGTACACAGTGACCTTGTACATGGCTGGTTTCTTTGTATAGTGATGCATATCATAGCTATAAAGTGGCAGTGTGTCTTGCTTGTGTGAAAGAAGTAAATACACTGTAAATATACTGTAATTTTCTCTTTTGTATGGATTATTTTATGTATGATATGGTGAAATCCATATTTCTGGATGAAAGCCACTGAAATCCCATCTGTGGTACATAGTAATTCATCCAGATTTTTAAAATTCTGAATGCAGCATTTATGTTTAAGAGTTCTGTTCATGTGTAAAAGCCATGTAGAATATTGCTGTTTGTCCAGATTGTATTGCAAGGCAACTTATCAGATTTCACTTTACCAGGTATTACCTTCATCTTTTTGCATCTGAATTTTTTTTCAAAATTTGCATGTGTCATTTGTGCACTTTGATTGGTCAGATGAATGTAACTTGCATTTTATAAAATTCAGTTTGGCCATTTGTGACTAAGTATACCCTTAAGTAGCAGTATCTGTCAAGTTCCTTTGTTGATCTTAATCTCTCTCAAAAAGAACAGATCCGTGTTAGAATTGGTCTTCAGCAACCCAATCTTGTCGTAAGATGCGACTAACCAGATCAGGTTGTCAGGATCGCTGACTTGGTTGACACATGTCATCGTTTCCCAATTTGCTTAGATTGAGTCTCATGCTGTTGATCACTGGATTGTCAGGTCCAGACTCAATTATTTACAGACAGACGCCATATAGCTGGAATATTGCTGTGGTGTAAAACTAAACTCACTCACTCAAGAAGAACAGTGTTAGCTCATTTGGTGGTGCTGTAACTTATCAATTATTTCTAGGTTTGATTCCCCACAAATTGAGATAGGGTTGTGATAAATTATGGTGTGCCCAGTTTAACTTAAAGTTGCTCAATGAAGTGACGCACCTGTCATGGTAAATAAGACGACAAAGTAGGTTACAGGACTTTAATATCTACTTTAAGAGTCTCCTAGATCATCAGATTCCATGAAACCATCAAGAAAACCTATATAAGTGCTATGTATTTCACAAAAAGACCAGTTGTAGATTTGTTGTGGCTGTAATTGACTGTTACACACACGGTAGGAAGGTGATAAAAGAAATATGATACTTCTGTCACTGGGGAGGTTGAGGGCCATCCTTAGTCAGCTCCAGCACATTGCTTGTCACAGGGGAGGTGGTTGTAGCTGGCTCTGGTATTCTGCTGACAAAGGATGAAGGTATTTGTTAGATCAGGTTCCCCTTTACCACAGGTAACTGTTGGGTGTGTTCTTGTCAAACAAGGAAAGGCACACCTTCACAGGTAGCCACCATAGGGACATATCCCAATGTATACACCACACCGTGCCATGGAATAATAACTCGTAATCATATTGGCCTGATTTGAAGGGTAGATATCTCAAGGTTTCTGATCATGTCTGTACTCTTATTGAGGCGTGAATCTGATATACAGACTGTGTTTGTGTTTGGATCTGGTTCCAATAAACCATGGTAGACTGAATAAATCTGAGAAAATAATTTCCATGACAGTTCTAGTTGTTTGTTATGTCCGGCCACCTTCCTGACCATGACAATTCTCCGTGTTAACTGTGAATCTAATATCAGGTAAAGGAATGCTAAGGTTAATGGAGTATATTCAAATTGTGATTCTGCTTACATGCAAGGCTTCCTCCATGATCGAGTAGATAGAACATCTGGACAGAAAGTTTAGTGGGGCCATCATCTGGCCATGTCTTGCCAAACGATATTAAAAGATGGAACTTGTTGTTATCCTGCGTGGTTCTCTGCATTAAAATGATGACTGGTTGCTTTGAATTAGTGTAATAAGCAGTATACATTAAACCCATTTCACATCAACTCGCCTCCCATCACGTCGCATCTCATCACATTTTCTGAACATCGCATTTAATTCAAAGATTTTAGAAGCAAATCAAATCTACACAATTTAGTCATTAATCAAGAATTAATTCAAAGACACAACTTTAAACCAACTTGATTTTCGGTGTGAAATGCAAATATACAAAATTTAGTGTATCAAGAAGTTTACCAAATGTATACTGCAAACGGCGGTGGGGTAGCCTAGTGGTTAAAGCGTCGCTCATGGCTGCTGAACCAGGGTTCGAATCCCCACATGGGCACAATATGTGAAGCCCATTTCTGGTGTCCCCCGCCGTGATGTTGCTGGAATATTGCTAAAAGCAGCGTCAAACTAAACTCAGTCAGTCAGTATACTGCATGCATGTCAATAAAAATAAACCAGCTGAACACATGCACAAGATCATGTGGGACCATTTAAAGCCTTCCAAATAAGGTTAGTCACTTACAAACTTCCTGGTAATGTGAAGAGTTGTCACAATAAACCAGACTGTAGGAAAAATACCAGAACATACTTTATAATTACTGTAGGTGATAAAATGATGTCATCCTACTGAAATTGAAGAAAATACTTTCTGAAACATGTTTAATGTGAACAATTGTGAAATTGAAAATTGTCAAAATCATGACAAAATAGCACCTGAAAGATCAACAATTCCTTTGAATCAGGATCATGGTGATATTTAACATGTCACTCTGCCCATGGTATTCAGTCTGCAAACATGTCATTGTCACAGTTTCAAGAATTCTGATCAAACTATTGATACATGCTTGACTTATATTTACAGCTGTATCATATAGTATTTTCTTTTATCACAGGGTGGTGGGGTAGCCTAATGGTTAAAGCTTTGGCTCGTCACGCCGAAGACCCGGGTTCGAATCCCCACATGGGCACAATGTGTGAAGCCCATTTCTGGTGTCCCCCGCCATGATGTTGCTGGAATATAGCTAAAAGCGGCGTAAAACCAAACTCAGTCAGTCAGTCAGTCTTTTATCACATTTCTGATGATTATTGTATTGATATCTTGTGACCTTCACATTGCAGTGAGGAAAACCATGACGAGAAAGAAGGAATGGTCTGTATCTGGCAAGGTTACATGGGTGACCTTGGCATCAAAACATACCCTGTGTTCTCCTCCAGAAAGATCAAGAAGGTCGCTGTCGGAGGCAACCACCTCCTCTTCCTCACAGCTGACTTTGAGGTCTTCAGCTGTGGGCAGAATGATTATGGTCAACTTGGTCATGGTGACCTTGATGGTGATGTCACAGAACCCAAGGTCATTAAGGATCTGTCAGGTAATAGCAATGGTTAATTGTGAAACTGTGAAAGTATAGACCACAAGCTATGATTTTATATATTGGGAATTGTAGGTGTCCTTTAGGCACCAAACCTGTGAATATCTGGGTTAGAATTGGTCTTAGTAACCCATGCTTGTCGTAAGAGGCAACTAATGGGATCGGGTGGTCAGGCTCGCTGACCTGGTTGACACATGTCATCATATCCTAATTGTGTAGATTGATGTGATGTGCATGCTGATGATCACTGGATTGTCTGGTCATGACCTGATTATTTACAGACCGCCGCCATATAGCTGGAATATTGCTGAATGCAGCGTTAAACAACAGACCAATCAACCAACCTTCAGGCACCAGGAACATATTAACTTTTCCTTTCAGAATTTAACTGTGCCGTTCCACTTCCCTTACCAATGATGTTTCTTTCACATTTAATATATGCATGTTTGTTTCAGATAAGGATGTAGTGGACATAGAGTGTGGGAAGAACCATAGTGCAGCGGTCACTGCAAGCGGCCAAATCTACTGCTGGGGTCAGTCTAGTCATGGACAGTGTGCTGTGTCAAATACTGCAGCAGTTACCTCCCCTCATCAAACAATCATCATAGATGAATCAATGTGTTGTGAGCATGGTATACCTTTAGCCGAGGGTCATGTGACTGTTGCCATGGTAGGCTGTGGGGCAGAGCACACTGTTGCGTTATCAACGTCAGGGGATGTTTGGGTGTGGGGGACTGGAATTCAACTTGGACTAGGGGAGGTAACTCAGTCTGATGTGCCAAAGAGGGTTGAGGTGTTAAAGGAGAAAACAGTGTTATCGGTGTGTTGTGGTGACTACCATACTCTGGCACTGGTGGAGAAGTCAGAGAAGGATGGTGTTCGGAGGAAAAAGAAGGGACAAGAAGCAACAGAAATCCAAACTCAGAAATATTTCCCACCTTTGTGTAAGAAATGCAATAAGGAGATCTACACATACACAGACACTAACGATACATGTATCATAGACTCGGAGCATCTGTGTCGAGAAAGCTCCGAGGAGACGTGCCAGAGCAACACCTCGAGCCTTGTTACGGGGACGGATATCGGGAGCTCCATCAGCTCCTGTCCTGATGTCCAGAGTCCAGAAGAGGCCAAAAAACACAGGCCACACTGCCAGTCTGGAGTCCATACATTCAGAGAAGGAGTTGGATGTGAGTCTTGACTCTAGAGAGACAGTTGTAGAAGCCTCAGGACATTCTTGTGATGCTGTTGATGAACTTGATCATGACCTTCCAGAAGAAGCAGATGCTGGTGGTAGGAGGAGTAGAGCTGCAGTCAGGGATGACTTGAAGCAAGAAAGAGCTGATAGTGAAAACAGAGAAGATGTCAAGGTAGCTCTAATTTCTACTTTGTCCCTTGATGAACATCCTCAATCCAAAATATCTGAAGGTGAACAGAGAACAGACTCTATACCTGATGTTGATGCCAAGACATCAGAAGTGTCTGACTGCAGTAAAGGTACAGGTGAAGATACGGAACGTGATGCAAGCCTCCCTGTGACCAGTGAGAAGGATGAGGTTGTGTGGAGACGTGCAGTCTCCCTGGAGGAGGAGAGGCAGAGGGAGCAGGATCTCTCTGAGGAACATATCAGACTACAGAGATCCAAGAGCTTCCTGGATGAGAAGGAAGCCAGGGAATACTTAGCCAAACAGTTTGAGGATGAGTCAACAGAGAAAGATACGTCTTCTAGTCAAGGATTTCAAATTCGCTCAACAATTCAAAACCTTATCCCATACCCTTCAAACATGATGGAATCTATGAAAACAATGACTTCCAAAGCTTTGACCAATATGCAGACAATTGCAGAGAATCTTCCATTTGTGTCTGGACCAAATCTCGATCTGGTCAATGTTTCTGCAGATGCTGAAACTACAACAGGAGTTGCTGAAACCGAAATGAGCATACAGGAGAAGGCAATGGTGACGAGTAACAGCAGTCTGGAGATTTCCACTCCTGGCCATGAAGAAATGCAGGAGTCCAGCTTTATCGAGATGATGAACCAGGACATTAGTTTCCTCTCACCAGACTCTGCAGATTCTACCCCAGTGCGAGAACGGACTCCTGAGGAGGAGGAGGAAGTACAAGCTAACAGGAAGTCCAAGTCGGTGAGGACTCTCTGGGCTAAGGAAGACCAGCTAGACAAACGGTTGTCCCAAGACTCGGTTAAAGGTAAGAGGACTTTTGAACTGCTGACATATTTGAACAGAATATCTAAAAAATGTAGCTTAGTCTGGTAGCATGCATATATATTTGTTCCTGTGGAAGAAGTGCCAACAAGTCATGCTGACAAGTTTTCACTACCTGTATAAAGTTACACTGGAGAAAACTGTTTTGTGGGTTTGAATGATAGTAGAATTGTTCTCAAGCAAACTGTAAAGTAACCTAAACATTTGCATAACATTTGAGCTGCAAGTTGGACAAGTTTACCTCATTGTTTCACCAACCCTCTAAAGCTGGACACACTGTATCTACTGACGTCTCTGCATCACTTACCTATTCTCATTGCAGCCTTATACAAACAGAACTGTGGGTACATTTTTTATTATAGGTTTTATGAGCGGTATATCCATGCAACTAGGGCATGCTCAAAGGCTGGTATTTTTCCCTCGATCATTGGATGTCAATCTCAGCGGCACATCGTATTAAATCTCAACTTTTACAACTCTTGCAGCCACTCTAGAGTTGTTGTGCTCTCATTAACAAGGTACCCATATGGGGCAATATAAAATACAGTTAAGCTCTAACACCATGTATATTTCTACTGAACTATTATAACGTTAAGTCGGATGATGTGCTTTAGTACACTATCCAGATGAAACTGAGTAGATCTACTTTCTAAGGATAATTATACATTAAGGCAGAAAACAAACGACGGTGTCAGTGACCTAAATTGTGGGAATGTAAACATTGTTCCATTGAACATTACCTATGTTAAGTTACCAGAAAAAACAAATGAAAACTTGTGAGTCAGATTAAATATCTTCTCTAAATTATTTTAACTGTGATTAACGTGAAAAATGGGGGCAATAAACGTCAATTTCTACTACCACCAGTTTGATGTTATGAAACTGAGTGTCAGCGACATTCCACGATTGCAGCAACATTGCGAACAACCAAGAAAACTTGGAGATTGACACATTTTAACCCGTCGGAAAAATAAGCGTAATGTTTACACCAGTGATGTTAAGCTGCGTGGAAGCAACTGCAAACCAAGAAGCGGGATGCAACGGAGTAGTTTATAAGGAGGCAACGAAGCTGATGACAACTGACATGCATCTTGACGTCACTTACATTGTGACGTAAAGGAAAATTGTACGATTACGAGGGGGCAGACTAGAATGGCGCAGTGACGCCAATACATTGTGACGTAATGCAAAAAGTGCACATTATCGTCTTATAAAACACTGTCGGCGCCTTTGATCTTTCACCGAAGCATCTTAGAAATTACTGCAATACATGTTCTACAGTAGACATTTTGTCCTCTACTGTCATTTGTTAAATAATCACCAATTGGAACAGAAATTCCAGTTTAATGCTGGATACAGAACTAACATTTGATTAAGGTGAATGGTATCCTCATTATGTTTTGTTTAGTGAGTATATCTTGGCTTGTAGGGTCAGACAACTCAGTGACTGTGGAGGCCATCCCTAAGGTGTCACTGGACACAGAGGTGTGGTCGTGGGGTCATAACCAAAAGGGGCAACTTGGCCAAGGTGACCAAGTGAACAGGTAGGGAACAATATGAGAGGTGGAGGACAGGTGGGGAAATCTGGGAGACACTCTGGACACTTAGGATACAATATATGAGACATGGTTGACAGGCAGTGGACACTCTGCGAGACATGTATAAGTCTAAGTTTCTTGCATTTAATATTTGACAAAATATTTTACAGTTACTGCATGTACAGTTCTCTGAAACAAAGCAATTCAACACAATCATCCTTCATTGTCCTTTAGGGGCAGTGGGGTAGCCTAATGGTTAAAGCGTTGGCTCGTCACGCCGAAGACCCGGGTTCGAATCCCCACATGGGCACAAAGTGTGAAGCCCATTTCTGGTGTCCCCCGCCGTGATGTTGCTGGAATATTGCTAAAAGCGGCGCGTAAAACCAAACTCAGTCAGTCAGTCAGTCATTGTCCTTTATGTATACAATAAATAATGATACACATCGGTTCATTTGTGCTAATTTTCTGTGGTAGAGTTGATAAGAAATAAGTGCTTACTAGTATTAGTATTAATCCTTTGTACCTTTTCATCAATGTTTTTCCAGAATAAAGCCCTGTTGTGTGAAGATGTTCAGCTCTAGATGTGTTCTGAAGCTGACAGCTGGCGCCTACCATACCCTGGCCTTGACCTCTGTAGCTCAAGTGAGCACGCTGTATGGATGGTGTGGGTGGATTGGGTGGTCTGTGTGGTTTCTGTCGTTTGAGTGCTGCTGTTGTATAGTGCTGTATGGATGGTGTGGGTGGATTGGGTGGTCTGTGTGGTTTCTGTCGTTTGAGTGCTGCTGTTGTATAGTGTTATGTGGGTGGTTTGTGTCACATGGGTGGTTGGTGGTGTGTGAGTACGCTGTATGGATGGTGTGGGTGGATTGGGTGGTCTGTGTGGTTTCTGTCGTTTGAGTGCTGCTGCTGTATAGTGTTATGTGGGTGGTTTGTGTCACATGGGTGGTTGGTGGTATGTGTGTACATATGTTGCTTCCAACATGGCATGGTCTATCTGGTTGACTCTAACTTATCACACAACACATTTTTCGTCACTAGCCTAAAGATATTCTATAGCTGTAATCCAGGGACCAAAAATATTCAAATCTGACAAGACACTTTTCACTTGTTTCATAATCTTCTACCACAACTTATTAATTGAATCTTAAATTAAGAACACAGACCTTCCCACTGGTTTGTTTTGTGTTGTAATGTAGTAATCCAAGATACAACTTGATTGTGAAATTTTATTGTTACATAATTTGGTTCCGTTTTTCTGTTGATGAGTTTTGAACATTATTTCAAAATGACATTTCTTTAGACTGTTTGAAATATTAAAGTTGAATCAAATCAATGACAGTTGTACTTGACCTTTGGAAATTGTCCTATGCAGGTGTATTCCTGGGGACAGAATTCCTATGGCCAGCTGGGGCACAGCGAGAATTCGGCATCCCCAAACCGAGTAAAGGTAGGAGTTGAATTCATATTCACACAAAATTCGATTTGACCCTGATTTGTCCACTTGACAAAATATTTTTATGTGTGAAATAAAACTACCAGTGTAACAGGCCAAACTTTCCCCCTGGCCAAACTTTCCCCAGGGAAACTTTGGCCTAGAACATCCCCGGGTATAATTTAAATTTCTAACCTACTTTATTTCTTATGAAAGTGTTACCTATAGATAAGCGGACCCCCTTCAAGAGGCTGCTCTTTGGGTGTTTATAATTCGGTTTATCTATGGTAATATATGGTAATTTGTATTGATAAAGAATTTCTCAAGTAAATCAATATGAGATGGGAGTTAACTCTTGTTATTCAGAGAAGTTACACATGTCTTCTTCCTTCCTCCAGTTCATGAGAGGGTATTATGTGTGGGACATAGCGACGGGTGACTCCCACTCTCTGTTTCTCACAGACAGCTCGGGAATGAAGCCGGATGTTTTCTATTGTGGGAAACAACCTTCGTAAGTAACAAATATATAAAGCAGTAATTGTCTGAGGCTTGCATCACTAAACACTCTCCTCCAACATTAACCTGACTTCCTTGAAATAACTGGAATACTGTTCAAAGCAGCTTTAATCCCAACTCACTCACTTCACTTGATCTGAGACCCTGAGGTCTGGATTAGAATATTGATCTTCAGTAACCCATGCTTGTTGTAAGAGGCGACTAACGGGATCAGGTGGTCGGGCTTGCTGACTTGGTTGACACATGTCATCGGTTCCCTATTGCGCAGATTGATGCTCATGTTGTTGATCATTGGATTGTCTGGTCCAGACTCGATTATTTACAGACCGCTGCCATATAGCTGGAATATTGCTGAGTGCGGTGTAAAACTAAACTCACTCACTCGCTTGATCTGAGGTGTCTGTATATCTCTCTCAACAGAGCAGATGTGTATGCAACTGTCAACAAAACCCGGTGCCTAACGCCCTCAGTGTCCTCAAGAAGGTAAGTGTAAAGACATAGATGGCCTTGTAAAGTGCTTCATGGTGGGTTCAACTAGGCAGTGTTTCCTGGGAGAAGTCCCATTCGTTGTCTGGGCTTCATGTAGAGGGGGCAATGGCCCTGAGCTGATGATGAGCCTTACCAGCCTGACTGTGCCAGGATCACCCGAACCCTCTCTGCTGCATACTATCATTAATCTGTAAAACATAATAATAATAATGGCATTTATATTGCGCTGTTTCCACACCATGAAGGTATGCTCAAAGCGCTAACACATTATTACCCCGGATAACCAAAGCTGCCTGTTAGGTGCGAGAAGGTTATAGTCACATGACTTATCCCACTGGGTACCCATTTTCTGCTGGGTGAACAGAGGCAATTTTGAACAAACTCAGTTGAGACCAGATGTATCACATATGCTTCGTTGTGGATCAGGACCGAAGTCCTAGAAACTCTCATGAGTCTATGCTATTCCAGAAGAGTTAAAGAACATTCCCATGAAGAATAACTATAGCCATATGAAAAAATCTGATGTGCTATATCATTTGTCCATTTTTTTCTATTATGACTGACTGACTGACTGAGTTTAGTTTTACGCCGCTTTTAGCAATATTCCAGCAATATCACGGTGGGGGACACCAGAAATGGGCTTAACACATTGTGCCCATGTGGGGAATCGAACCAGGGTCTTCGGCGTGACGAGCCAACGCTTTAACCACTAGCCTACCCCACAGCCCCTTTTTCTATTATGAAAGCAGTTGATCTACTATATATGGTTGTATTGTTCACTGTACTGTATTTTGTACTCATTGCAGACAGGTTGGTTAAAGAGCCTGTCATCAAGGGGAGACAACTGTGCCTGTCTGTTGTCTGACCCGACGGTAGCTCTACCTGCCCTGTATGAGCTGGCTGCCATTCAGAGAGGGTTTTACTATCACCTGAACAGAATCAAGATGGACCTGCTGAAGCCCCTCAGCAGTCATGGTAAGACTCTTGTACTGGAGAAATGTCTGAATGTGTGTCACAGGATCATAAAGGGATAATCAGTTCAATGATAGTACTTACTGTAGAAGTGCCAAGTTATCACAGGTAAAAATGAAAGTGTTACCTGTCATGCCAGCTTAATTAATGTTGGTCCCGTGTTTGAATCCATGCTTTGTCAACTTCATATTGTGATGACCTTCATATTGAGCTTTCTCCACTTAAAAGATGTTCTTTAAGGCCAGACCAATTTTATTTCTTGTTTTACGGTTTTTTGTCCTCAGAAAACCTAAAGGCAGGAGGGAAAAAAATAAAAATAAAATCACCAGTGAAAGCAATATTCCTTCTAAATACTCAAAGTATTTTACTTTTGGCAATTTATGAAGTGTATATGGGGCAAAAAACATCTAAAAAACATTTTTCTTATAAGTTTACATTTTTGGCAAATAAAAATATTCGGATTTTATTTTTTGAGCAGGGGAAATTATTTTTTTTTTTTCTTATTCTTAAAAAAATACGGCAGGTGGATCCGTAAACAAGAAATAAAATTGGTCTGGCCTAACTAATATATGTAATTCAAAGCAATGTTAAACTCATTCATCACTTGATGTCACTATAGGGTTTCATTGAACTAACAGATATTGATGGAAACGAACTTGATTCCTGGGTTGTATTGGTCCCCGTGGGGTGATTAGCTGGTCAGTTTTGTTGACTTGATTTTTAGCATGGCGTGTTAACCTTCATTGATGGTTACTTTATCAGACACTTGACTTGAATATTAACAGGATTTTGTATATGCAGCTGGAATATTGCTGAGTGTGGCATCGAACAACAACAAATACATTTAGCTGGAGTTTTGTAAAAGCCACATTAAATCCAACTGACTGATTTCTGTTCTCCAGCCTTCTACACCAGCCTTGATGTGTATCCCTACAAGTCCGCACTGCAGAACCTGCTCGCCTCCTTCTACGTCCTCACTAAGAACGTAAGTTGCTGCCTAGATGATAAGTATATATTCAGGGCTTGATAGTGCTTGTAATTGTGCACAGATTACAAACTCAGAAATAACAGGGATATAATCAGTGACAATGGAGGTCCAAACTAATAAACATTTCAACGAATGAAGAAGATGATTCTTCTACTTTCCACACTTTTGTTACAAAGAACATAATAAGCCAACAATAATTAGTCTTACTGTGCAGCGTTGTCTTGGTCTGGTGTGCCAGTATTTTGGAATCAAACCAGATTTTTGGCATGCTAAATGATTGCTTTAACCACTAGGCTACACCACTGCCCCTTCAGATGAAGAACTGACTGCCTCCGTGGTGTAGTGGTTAGAGCATCCGCCCGGAGAGCGGAAGGTCGCGGGTTCGAATCCCGACCGCGTCATACCAAAAGGCTTTAAAATATGGTACTTGTTGGTCCCTGCCTGGCGCTCGGCATTAATGGGTACAACAAGGACTGGTCGGCTGGGAGTCAGTATAATGTGTCTGAGTGGGGTATTCATGCTTCACTGCGGCATGGTATCTCAGTGGGCTAGCACTATAAAACCAGCTTAAGTCTGGGCTAGTACAAGCAGCCCCACATACACATACACCTGCATGTCGTCATATGAGCGAAATAATATTGAGCACGACGTTAAACCCAATTTCACCTCACCTCACCTCAGATGAAGAACTCATGTTGTGTCTCTGCAGGTAGGAGAACAGATAGGAGAGATGACAGTGATGATACGTGAAGGGCTGAAACTCACTGATGCCAGCCAGTTCAAGAATTACAGTGAACCAATCACCATGACGCAGAAATACTCACGATTCCTTGCAGACTTCATTGCTATTGGAGGTTTCGAATACTGTGCGAAAAATGGAAGGTTTGTCCAAATCATTACTTTGTCTATGGAACATTTAATTTCTGCTTCAGAGGTTTATTTCATTAAACACTTTTTGAAGTCTCAGAACACTCTTCTCAGCCTCAGACTTACATGATATGTTAACTGTTTCCTGTCTGCAGTGCCTTTTTTGAGAAGATTCAGGGCAAGTTCCCAGACTTGATCCTGGAGAAGAAGGTGGACAAGTCTCTGTGGGCAGCTAACTGCCGCAAGGTCATGATGTTCCCCCTGCAGAGACTGAAGGACTTCTGTCGACACCTGTCCAAACTCACAGACTCCCTCCAACAGGTATGTCAGACTGTCCAAACTCACAGACTCCATCCAACAGGTATGTCAGACTCTCCAAACTCACAGACTCCCTCCAACAGGTATGTCAGACTCTCCAAACTCACAGACTCCCTCCAACAGGTATGTCAGACTCTCCAAACTCACAGACTCCATCCAACAGGTATGTCAGACTCTCCAAACTCACAGACTCCCTCCAACAGGTATGTCAGACTCTCCAAACTCACAGACTCCCTCCAGCAGGTATGTCAGACTCTCCAAACTCACAGACTCCCTCCAACAGGTATGTCAGACTCTCTCCAAACTCACAGACTCCCTCCAGCAGGTATGTCAGACTCTCCAAACTCACAGACTCCATCCAGCAGGTATGTCAGACTCTCCAAACTCACAGACTCCCTCCAACAGGTATGTCAGACTCTCCAAACTCACAGACTCCCTCCAACAGGTATGTCAGACTCTCCAAACTCACAGACTCCATCCAACAGGTATGTCAGACTCTCCAAACTCACAGACTCCCTCCAACAGGTATGTCAGACTCTCCAAACTCACAGACTCCATCCAGCAGGTATGTCAGACTCTCCAAACTCACAGACTCCATCCAACAGGTATGTCAGACTGTCCAAACTCACAGACTCCCTCCAACAGGTATGTCAGAATCTCCAAACTCACAGACTCCCTCCAACAGGTATGTCAGACTCTCCAAACTCACAGACTCCATCCAGCAGGTATGTCAGACTCTCCAAACTCACAGACTCCCTCCAACAGGTATGTCAGACTGTCCAAACTCACAGACTCCCTCCAACAGGTATGTCAGACTCTCCAAACTCACAGACTCCATCCAACAGGTATGTCAGACTCTCCAAACTCACAGACTCCCTCCAACAGGTATGTCAGACTCTCCAAACTCACAGACTCCCTCCAACAGGTATGTCAGACTCTCCAAACTCACAGACTCCCTCCAACAGGTATGTCAGACTGTCCAAACTCACGGACCCCATCCAGTATTACTGTAGTACTCCTCTGTCTCGGGATTCGTAATAATGATGTTCCTTGTGAGCAAGCAGGATAAGTTCACTCATGACGCTTTGTCTGTTTCTAGGATTCTGTGGCACACAAACTGCTGAAGAAATCTGTGTTAAACTGGGAAAGTCTCAAAATGACCACTTTGAATGAGATTGTCATCGCCGACCAGACCAAGGCATTCTGGGAAGGATGTAACCAGAAATTAGCGGTATGTGTAAAACCACATTACTGACATTGCCAATCAAACAGGACATTTCAGCTCATTATGCTCTTTTACATATCAGTGTCATCTGAAAATACACAATAAAATCACATATATTTTTTTCGTTATGAACTTATCAAGCTTGTATTGTTGTTTTCTATCAGGACACTCTTCGGATCCCTAGTCGTCGTCTGCTTCGGGATAGCAAGAATCATCCAGTGTCAATCCCCAGTGCTGGACGCTTTTCCTCTCACTTGCTGCTCCTCTTTAATGACATCTTTGTCCATGCTCAGGTACTGGTAGATAATCAGTTTGATATCCTGCTCAGGCACTGTTAGATAAGTTCTATAATTCCATGCTCTGGTACTAGTAGATAATTGCTATATACCATGCTCTGGTACTGGTAGGTATTTGCTATATACCATGCTCTGGTTCTGGTAGATAATTGCTATATACCATGCTCTGGTGCTGGTAGGTATTTGCTATATATATACCATGCTCTGGTGCTGGTAGATATAGGCTATATACCATGCTCTGGTACTGGTAGATAATTACTATAATACAATGTTGTGGTACTGGTAGATAATTGCTATATACCATGCTCTGGTGCTGGTAGATAGTGTCTATATACCATGCTCAGGTACTGGTAGATAATTGCTATGTACCATGCTCAGGTACTGGTAGATAATGACTATATACCATGCTCTGGTGCTGGTAGGTATTTGCTATATACCATGCTCTGGTACTGGTAGATAATTGCTATATACCATGCTCAGGTACTGGTAGATAATGACTATATACCATGCTCTGGTGCTGGTAGATAGTGTCTATATACCATGCTCAGGGTACTGGTAGATAATTGCTATATACCATGCAAAGGTAGGTAGATTGACTATATACCATGCTCTGGTGCTGGTAGATGGTGTCTATATACCATGCTCAGGTACTGGTAGATAATTGCTATATACAATGCTCAGGTACTGGTAGATAATGACTATTTATTACCCGTGGTCAGCGTGGGTAGTTGCATATTAATCTCGAAATGCGTCACCGCAGTGTCGATATCGCATTGACCTGTGTCGTAAGTAGCGACTTGACCTGAAATTCTAACGATTTGATTGGATAACCGATGACCTCTCAATTAGGTCACATTCTGACGTAACTATTTTTTTCATTCATAACAAACCGCGTGAATTCATTCATTCTACAACTTAAATGCATTGTGGGAATGTAAACATTGCGAATGTTGCCGTGTCGCTGTTTAATTGTGAGTCGAACTGAGACATTATATCTGTCGAAAAAACATAAAGCGCAATGTTTCCACCAGTGATGTTAGCGAATGAAGCAACTGGAAACCAAGAAGCGAGGTGCAACGGAGTAGTTTACTGTAGGAGGCTATGCTGAGGCGATGACAACTGACATGCATCATGGCGTCGGTTACCATGGCAGTGGCGTCATTAGTGTGGACGTCATGCAAACATTGTACTACAGTACAAAACTCTTCATAACCTCTTTATGAAACCGGTTTTGGGTTTGAAACCAAAAACATAACAAAAATGCGGCTATTTTGTCAATTTAAATGCATGTAAGGCGTGGGTAATAAATAAAATACCACACTTTCGGTCTCATTACATCACGAATTATCTGAGCTTCGTGACCTTCCTATGTTATCTGACCTCGCAGCTTTGCTCGGTCAGATATCATAGGAAGGACCGTAACTTAGTTCTCAATTCGTAATAATCGCGAGATCCGAATGTAGTAGTATTCTCTATATACCATGCTCTGGTACTGGTAGATAATGACTATATACCATGCTCTATGCTGGTAGATAGTGTCTATATACCATGCTCAGGTACTGGTAGATAATGACTATATACCATGCTCAGGTACTGGTAGATAATGACTATATACCATGCTCTGGTGCTGGTAGATAGTGTCTATATACCATGCTCAGGTACTGGTAGATAATTGCTATATACCATGCTCAGGTACTGGTAGATAATGACTATATACCATGCTCAGGTACTGGTAGATAATTGCTATATACCATGCTCAGGTACTGGTAGATAATGACTATATACCATGCTCAGGTGCTGGTAGATAGTGTCTATATACCATGCTCTGGTACTGGTAGATAATGACTATATACCATGCTCAGGTACTGGTAGATAATGACTATATACCATGCTCTGGTGCTGGTAGATAGTGTCTATATACCATGCTCAGGTACTGGTAGATAATTGCTATATACCATGCTCAGGTACTGGTAGATAATGATATACCATGCTCAGGTACTGGTATGCTATACCATGCTCAGGTACTGGTAGATAATTGCTATATACCATGCTCAGGTACTGGTAGATAATGACTATATACCATGCTCAGGTACTGGTAGATAATTGCTATATACCATGCTCAGGTGCTGGTAGATATAATGACTATATACCATGCTCTGGTGCTGGTAGATAATTGCTATATACCATGCTCAGGTACTGGTAGATAATGACTATATACCATGCTCTGGTTCTGGTAGATAATTGCTATATACCATGCTCAGGTACTGGTAGATAATGACTATATACCATGCTCAGGTACTGGTAGATAATTGCTATATACCATGCTCAGGTACTGGTAGATAATTGCTATATACCATGCTCAGGTACTGGTAGATAATGACTATATACCATGCTCAGATATAGGTATAATGAAGCTAAGACTGTATGTATATTGTTATGGTGACATCAATATACCCAACCTGATAATATTGAAGTATGCTAATCAGGAGGATAACACTGGTGACAGATTGTCACTGTACTCAGGTACTGGTTGATAATCACTTTGAAACTCCACCCAGATACAAAGTAATATTGCAGACTAGCCATTAGATGAATATAATGGTAGGTACCATACGATAATGCTTTAAACTTTAACTACAATTAATAAATGAAACAAATATTTAAAACCAAAACATGTTAGGGATTAATTTCTGTAATGCAGCTGATGTTGTGAAATCCTAAGTTGACGATGTTTGTTTGCAGTACAACCTGAATCAGGTGTTGCCCCTGGAGACGGTGTGGGTAGAGGTGCCTCCTTCAGAGTCTGAATCTGCACAACAGTGAGTGATGACTTCCTGTACAAGCTGTGTTTCTTTATTTGATCAGTGCTTGGGTGGTTTACATTAGGCTTCAGGTTTTGGAGTCGCCGGAAAACAGAACAAGTAAACATGGATTGTTTTTACCATTCAGAGAATTAACTTGAAACTGCTAATATTTGTTTCCTTAAAAGGGTAAGACTTGAGATCAAATAGGCAAGGCCATTTTTAACAAATCGTGTTTGGCTATATTGGCCAATGAGAAACAATGCAGATGATCATCAATAACATGTGCCATGTAATATATGATAAATTATAAATGAGCGAGTGGCTAATGGTTAAATGAGGAGGAAGACTTAAAAGCTGAATCATCTTGAACACTGAAATTGTTTATAGGTTTGGGTTAGCAATGTTTGTGATAATTATTTCCAGGGTGGGCATTATCGTGACCTCACCGGAGGAGACAGTGGACCTCATTGCTGGTTCTCCCGCTGAGAAGGTGAGATAGGCACCTTTCTTTATCTAGTGTATCATATCTACATTCCTTCTGGATAAATACCTTGGACCTCTTGACCATCATAGGTTGTTTCAAGTAAACTTCTAGTAACAGTCCACTACAAGAGACATCTAATAAAATTACACTTACCTTTATTATATCAGATCTTTTTTTAAACAGTCCTATTGAATTAGATATGATCATTAATTAATATATTGAAAAGTCTTAGTGGTATTTTGTCCACAGGCTGAATGGGTAATGGCCTTGAACTCAGCAATCAACAAAGTTCTGTCCAGTCAGAAGTCTTCATCTTCAGGAAGGCGGGGCAGTGTGGAGCGCCTGACTCCGCCCCTTATCCGACATGCCAAGTACTCCTTCGTCAAGAATGGAGTGTTTAAAGATGCAACATACTCAGGGTCATGGTTGAATGGCAAACTACATGGATAGTAAGTAAGATTTGAATATTCAGGACATGTATTTACAGCTTTATAATTTAAGTTAGACATGTTGTTTTACTAGATATTTTTGTTTGGGATTATTTTTTTTAAATTCAGTTTTACATGGTTTGGTTATATCTATACCTAGTGATTATTGTGATAGCCAGTAGTGAGCGTTTCCTGTTAGGGAACATCCCTATGTTTAGCCAGTGATGAATGTTACCTATAAGGAAGCATCACTATGTTTAGCCAGTATTGAATGCTCCCTATAAGGAAGCATCACTATGTTTAGCCAGTAATGAATGTTCCCTATGAGAACATCCCTATGTTTAGCCAGTATTGAATGCTCCCTATAAGGAAGCATCACTATGTTTAGCCAGTAATGAATGTTCCCTATGAGAACATCCCTATGTTTAGCCAGTATTGAATGCTCCCTATAAGGAAGCATCACTATGTTTAGCCAGTAATGAATGTTCCCTATGAGAACATCCCTATGTTTAGCCAGTAATGAATGTTCCTTATAAGGGAGCATCGCTATGTTTAGCCTTTAATGAGTGTTTGCCTTCCTTCAGTGGTGAACTGAAGTGGAGCGACGGCCGGACGTACATCGGCATGTTCAAGCAAGGACTCCAACATGGGTGAGGAGACCATCTTAAATTCATCATTGATTATTTCTTGTAAAATAGTAAAAAGTAAAACAGTGACAGGCCATATATGGCATGATCAGAACCATGTTACAACATATGCTCTGTTTCAGACATGGAGTGCTGACAATTCCTAAAGGGAATAATTCTACTGTGTGTATGGAAGGGGAATGGAAGGATGGCAAACTCAATGGCTATGGAAGCACCAGGTTTGTTCCCGATCTCAATAATTTGTGCAGAATCCCTACTCAGGTATTCTTATAACTGATATCACTGTGAGTTCTTTTATGGATGGGGGCGGTGGGGTAGCCTAATGGTTAAAGCGTTGGCTCGTCACGCCGAAGACCCGGGTTCGAATCCCGAAATGGGCACAATGTGTGAAGCCCATTTCTGGTGTCCGCCGCCGTGATGTTGCTGGAATATTGCTAAAAGCGGCGTAAAACCAAACTCAGTCAGTCAGTCTTTTATGGATGACAGATAATCCTTAATACAAAATTGTCAATTGGCTATTTCGTTTTCTTCTAAGAAAATGAAAAAAAGCTGGTGTTCTCGATGATCAGCTTGGTCTGTCTGTTGTTGGAATGACATCATGTAAGACCGTATTGCACATAAACAATGGAGGACCTCAACTTCATTTGTTTGTGACAATGCCTAGATGTGCCAAGACTTTGCTATGGGCCACTTGGCAAACAGTGTAAACAATGGAACTAGTCAATCAACAACAAGCAAAAATTGAAATGCTCTGTGAGATTTACTGATTATAATGTACAGAGTCAATTATGCTAATTCTACACACAACAGGTATACAAATGGCGACTGCTACGAGGGGTATTACAAGGATGGCCAGAAGTTTGGTCATGGAACCTACCGCCAGGGCCGCCACATGTCAAGCAACGCCAGCATCCACATCGGGGAGTGGCTGGCAGACAAACGCCATGGCTACGGTGTACAGGATGATATTCTTAGAGGTGATAGTTGCGCCTTTCATGTTCCTTTTCTAATGAACATCAGAATGATGATTATTTGCAAGGATTAATCAAATTGTGCATGAAATATGAATTTCAATTGACATTTAAAGTTCCTTGTTTTACACACAATAGTGTCTTGTTGGCAGGTGAGAAGTACATGGGCATGTGGAACGATGACGTGCGACACGGCAAGGGCATCGTCGTCACCCTGGATGGGATGTACTTCGAGGGAACCTTCTCAGCAAATAAACTAACTGTGAGTATCTCCATGACATGATGGATGGCGGGGTAGCCTAGCGGTTAAAGCTTTTGCTCGTCATGCCGAAGACCAGGTTTGATTCCCCACATGGGTACAATGTGTGAAGGCAATTTCTGGTGTCCCCCACCGTGATATTGCTGGAATATTGCTAAAAATGGTGTAAAACCTCGCAGCTTCGCTTCACTCACTCACTCACTCACTCACTCACTCACTCACTCACTCACTCACTCACTCACTCACTCACTCACTCACTCCCACTCACTCACTCACTCACTCACTCACTCACTCACTCACTCACTCACTCACTCACTCACTCACTCTGGCATATGATATTTGCATGAAGTCTATAATAGATCAGAACAAGTGAGTGACTAGAATATATTCTTCTAGAAACGTAACATTGTCCAGTCAGAGGTCAAAGACACTGAAATTGGACATGCAGAGTTGCATCCCCTAGCTGAACCTGGATCTGCAGACCGTGGATTTACATCATAGAATTGTTCTGATGACATCTGAATGAGTTTCTACAGTTGTCAGCACAATATGTATGTTTAACCAAGTGTAAACCTCAACAACTACGCCTTCTGTTACTCCAGGATTTTCTCCCACAAGGCCTTAGAGTCAATAAAACCAGTTGCCTTCACCAGTGCAGTGAATGCTTTTAACTTAATGTGTTTGGCAGCGGTGGGGTAGCCTAGTGGTTAAAGCGTTCGCTTGTCAAGCTGAAGACCCGGATTCTATTCCCCCACATGGGCACAATGTGTGAAGCCCATTTCTGGTGTTCCCCACCATGATATTGCTGGAATATTGCTAAAAGCTGCGTAAAACCATACTCACTCACTCTGATGTGTTTGTATGTGACCTGTTGATGTGTTTCAGGGGTTTGGTCTGATGCTGACTGAAGACAACAGCTGCTATGAGGGTCAGTTTGCTGGAATCACACAGTTACAGGGCAATGTAAGTATAGCATACAGATGGGAAAACACAACATCTCAACATCGATGAGACTGAGCTTTTGGTCCACTGAATTTTGACATCATTTCTTATCAAAGGACAGATTTATCATTGAGAAAGTTTTGTTATTGATAGTGATTTGAAGCATTGTTTGTGACCTGAACAGTTTAACTTCAATCACAACTGTACATCAAGTTGAATCCTGCTGTCTTCCCCAGGGTACATTGACTCTTCCAACAGGAGATAAACTGGATGGTTACTTCAACGGTTCCTGGAACGAAGACCTTAAGTTTAATGGAACCTTCATCAAGGCCACAAGTCCCCCACCTGTTGAGAGGAGATCCTCACACCTACTTGGGATAAAGTCAAAGTAAGCATCCAGGACTTATTTCCTTCATTATGATAAGGAGCGATGGGGTAGCCAAATGGTTAAAGCATCCTGGGTTCAATTCCCCACATGGGTACAACAAGTGAAGCCCTTTTCTGGTGTCTCCTGTCATGATTTTGCTGGAAAATTGCTAAAAGTGGTGTAAAGCTATACATACTCACCCATTATGAGAAATACCCTGGGATCATTATCCTTCCAAGCTTTGTTGACATCACCGACCCGTGAAGGTGCGGGGTAGAATAGGTCTTCAGCAACCCATGCTTGTCACAGAAGGCTTACTATGCTTGTCGTAAGAACTAACGGGATCAGGTGGTCAGGCTTGCTGACTTTGGTTGACACATGTCATCGTTCCCAATTGCGCAGATCGATGTTCATGATGTTGATCACTGGATTGTCTGGTCCAGACTCGATTATTTACAGACCACCGCCATATAGCTGGAATATTGCTGAGTCGCGTGTAAAACTAAACTCACTCACTCACTCACTTGTTGACATCACCACCACAGTCTCTCTTAGGACAGAATTACTCTTGCCAGAGAGTGCTGTTTGATTGCTGTTTTTATCATTTATAATGGTCTTGAAACATATACTTAACGTCATTAGTGAAGGGTCACCTATATGTTTTGATGATTTAATTTACAGCAGTTTTCATCAATGTTGATAATGGCATTGTAGTCACCTAGCCATCGATTAACATTGCACTTGACCTCACTTTGTCTCATGCACTTGTCTCTCCACGGTTGGTTAGTTCACAATCCAAAAATGATGTTTGAATGAAGATGAAGTTTCCTGAAATTTGGTGTGTTGTTAACATTTCTCAAAACAGCTCATGCAAACACATCCAGTGATGTGTCAATGCACATGGAAAATTCGTAATGAAAGTTTTCAAGTGACATCGGTCTATACTCTTTAGATCCTGTATCTTTATTCACAGTGTGTTTTCAAAATGAGGCATTTTTCTGAGTGTTGAAGAACGAGGCCAAGCAGTAGGAATCCTTAATACAGGACAGAGTCAATGACAAGTTGCCAGACACTTTAATGTGTCTCTGAGTGTCATTGGTAGACTGTGGCAACGATTCCAGGTGACAGGAACTGTGGCATATGCTCCAAGGCCAAGTCGACCTCGTGTCACCAGGCAACGTCAAGACAGGCACCTCAGAAACGTTGTTCTCAGTAATCGATTCGTGACTGCAACAGATCATCAGCATGAACACTTTAACGTCAACAACACCAGGATTAGTGTGTCCGCCATACGCCATCATTGAGCTTGGCGACCAGCAGTCAGAACTGGAATGACCCCTTGTCATCGCCAGGCACCGATGACGTTCTGTTGTGCTCATATTCATTGGAATCAACGCCAGTGGTCATCTGTTCTTTTTTTCCAATGAGAGCAGGTTTAAATATCATTTCATGATGGTCGTAGACAGGTTTATCGACGTCAGAATGAACATTTTGCTGATGCAACAGTAGCAGCCCATGACCGATTTGGTGGCGGTTCAGTGATGGTATGGGGTGGGATAACGGCTACTGGGAGGACTCCTCTTAATGTTGTGGAAGGAAATCTCACAGCTCAACGATACAGAGACGAGATTTTGTTCCATTTGTTGTACCATTTATGCATCAACTTCCTGCGTATTGTGGGCCACCCCACTTCAAGATGACAATGCCAGACCACACAGAGGACCAATAGTGAATGACTTCCACAGCTGCAGGGTATCATGAGTGGCCGGCTTGTAGCCCGGATCTTTACCCACTTGAGCATGCTTGGGATGAGTTAGGCCGCAGGGTTTACAGAAACCACCCTATTCCACAGACTCTTGCTGACCTCCGTCTAGCGCTATACAGGGAATGGCAGGCAATATCCCATAAATAATAGATAATAAAGTATTCTTTATGAACTTAATAAGGAGTTTTCGTTCTCATTGTGACACAACTTTACATGCTATTGGTGGTTACACCAGATATTGACGCTAACTGTTTCATGTGAACTTTGATTTGGGGGGTTCTAATCTATCATCCAGGATGCAGGTATCGGCCCTGTGACATTTTTGGGACATTTGCTGTTACGTTTGATAATTAATCTTTGATCCATGACAAACCTTGTTTAGTGTTCTATCAATTGTGATTGGACAGATTAAATTATATAAGTGACCCTTCACTAATGATGCTTAGTATAGATATTGTAATGAATGGGCCAGGTCTATTTATCACGATGGAAGAGAGATCTAATAGACTAGATAATCAGTAAAATACTTATGTTGGAGGTTGGTTATGTAAAGTTGATTCAGTAATTTTGAAACTGTATCTCAGATGTATATCTCTGACATATGATGAATCTCACTCACTCACTCACTCACTCACTCACTCACTCACTCACTCACTCACTCACTCACTCACTCACTCACTCACACCACTCACAACGTGTATATGGTACCTCTGCATGGCAACACCACTACAGCTTGGTGTTATGTTGTAGTGTGTATGGCAAGCTGTCAGTGCCTGCTGAACACAAGTGGGCTGATATTTTCCGCCACTGTTGCTCGTTACTGGGGTACAAGGGAGATGGCAAGTCCAACTCTGACAAGGCCTGGGAGAGTGTAGCTGTTATCCTCAACTCTGGCAGGAAGCGCCTCAAGGAGATGGAGAAGTGGTAAGTACAGGCCATATCTCACTGGAGAAGTGGCAAATACTGACAATATCCAATTGGAGAAGTGGTAAATACAGGCAATATCTCACTGGAGAAATGGTAAATACAAGCAAAAGCTCACTGGGGAAGTGGTAAATACAGGCCATATCACACTGGAGAAGTGGTAAATACTGGCAATATCGAAGTGGGGAAGTGGTAAACACAGGCCATATCTCACTGGAGAAGTGGTAAATACTGGCAATATCCAATTGGAGAAGTGGTAAATACAGGCAATATCTCACTGGAGAAATGGTAAAAACAAGCAATAGCTCACTGGGGAAGTGGTAAATACAGGCCATATCTCACTGGAGAAGTGATAAATACCACATCTGGGGGAAGTGGTAAACACAGGCCATATCTAACTAGAGAAGTGGTAAATACTGGCAATATCCAATTGGAGAAGTGGTAAATGCCAATATCTCACTGGAGAAATGGTAAAAACAAGCAATAGCTCACTGGGGAAGTGGTAAATACAGGCCATATCTCACTGGAGAAGTGATAAATACTGGCAATATCCAACTGGGGAAGTGGTAAACACAGGCCATATCTAACTGGAGAAGTGGTAAATACTGGCAATATCCAATTGAGAAGTGGTAAATACTGGCAATATCTCACTGGAGAAATGGTAAAACAAGCAATAGCTCACTGGGGAAGTGGTAAATACAGGCCATATCTCACTGGAGAAGTGGTAAATACTGGCAATATCCAACTGGGGAAGTGGTAAACACAGGCCATATCTAACTGGAGAAGTGGTAAATACTGGCAATATCCAATTGGAGAAGTGGTAAATACAAGCAATATCTCACTGGAGAAATGGTAAAAACAAGCAATAGCTCACTGGGGAAGTGGTAAATACAGGCCATATCTCACTGGAGAAGTGGTAAATACTGGCAATATCCAACTGGGGAAGTGGTAAACACAGGCCATATCTCACTGGAGAAGTGGTAAATACTGGCAATATCCAATTGGAGAAGTGGTAAATACAGGCAATATATATCCAAGTGGGGAAGTGGTAAACACAGGCCATATCTCACTGGAGAAGTGGTAAATACTGGCAATATCCAATTGGAGAAGTGGTAAATACAAGCAATATCTCACTGGAGAAATGGTAAAAACAAGCAATAGCTCACTGGGGAAGTGGTAAATACAGGCCATATCTCACTGGAGAAGTGGTAAATACTGGCAATATCCAACTGGGGAAGTGGTAAACACAGGCCATATCTAACTGGAGAAGTGGTAAATACTGGCAATATCCAATTGGAGAAGTGGTAAATACTGGCAATATCTCACTGGAGAAATGGTAAAACAAGCAATAGCTCACTGGGGAAGTGGTAAATACAGGCCATATCTCACTGGAGAAGTGGTAAATACTGGCAATATCCAACTGGGGAAGTGGTAAACACAGGCCATATCTAACTAGAGAAGTGGTAAATACTGGCAATATCCAATTGGAGAAGTGGTAAATACAAGCAATATCTCACTGGAGAAATGGTAAAAACAAGCAATAGCTCACTGGGGAAGTGGTAAATACAGGCCATATCTCACTGGAGGTAAAAGTGGTAAATACTGGCAATATCCAACTGGAGAAGTGGTAAACACAGGCCATATCTCACTGGAGAAGTGGTAAATACTGGCAATATCCAACTGGGGAAGTGGTAAACACAGGCCATATCTCACTGGAGAAGTGGTAAATACTGGCAATATCCAACTGGGGAAGTGGTAAACACAGGCCATATCTCACTGGAGAAGTGGTAAATACTGGCAATATCCAACTGGAGAAGTGGTAAATACTGGCAATATCCAACTGGACAAGATTATCCATATGATAACAGTTTGAGATTTTCTGTGGTTGTTAAAGACAATATTACAGTGTAAACTACAATATATATGGGATGTCATTCACCTGAAATGGTTGTAGTATTCTGAGTTATGATACAATATAGGTGTGCACTGTTGTTTACTGTGTTCCCAGTTCCCCACTCAAGCTGCGGCACCAGAGTGTCAGCCTGGAGAGTCTGGAGACCATCCCTGTCCACAACACCGGCAACCTCACCATGGAGAACTACCACCAAATCAAAGAGTACCTACAGAAGGTGCTAGATTGCTCATTCTGTTAACCCTCTGTTATACAATGATGAAAAGCTATGACTTAATAATGCTTTGAGTTAAAAAATAGAATACACTTGCAAAAGCATATTTCATAAGTTATTAAAACAATAAATTACAATAAGATGTGATACTGATGTGAATCTCTGAAAGACAAGTCAATAAGTGAAATCACTGCAATTTCTGCGTGAATGATGGTTTTAAAAAAATGAAGCAGCATTGTTAACAGTGAAACAGCATCTTTTACACAAAGGGCATAGGCTGATATCAAAACAGAAGGTTGGTTTTCATATTGTATGCTTAAAATGTCTATCTATGGTAGGGATGGTGTTGTGTTTGATTCTGCATGTTGGTAAATTGTGCACGGCCCATTCCTAATTTCTCCTGCTAAACCTGTTTCAAAACCATGATGATTTCTGCTCTGCACCTTTCATTTTCATATCGTCTGGGTGTCAGGTGTGTCCACGTGGCAAAACATTCTGAAACTTGGACGTTGATTTGAATATTTCAAGATTTGCTCAAATTTTCATCCATACTCAGCACCATACTTTCAGTCGTTGCTTTCTCTAATGTGGCTCAGATTGGTGAACGTTACTGTACTCCTTCATGAAGCTAACATCTCATGAGGACGATGTGATACTGTTCAACATAGCATTAAATCCTTATACTGTCGCTCGTGTATTTCAGGCATTTGACACAACATTCCACCCTCTGGGCAAGCTGATGGAGAATCTGGTGGACGTGTTCCGTGCCGCATATATCGGTGTTGGAGCCCACCCACGTCTCCTGCATCATGCCATCGAGGAGGTCAAGTCATATGTACAGCGCATTTACAGTGTTGTCCGGTAGGAAAATCATTACTGTCTGTGCATATTTGTTAATGGAGGCAGAGAGGGCTCTCTCATCTGTCACGAAGTGTTACATTAGAAGTGGCATCCTTATGCATACCTGTGAATCCTATGATTATTGATCCATTTTTTCAACCAGAGTGGTAAACACTTGCATTATCTCGGGCTTGAAGATCCGGAATTTTGCGTTGTCATAACTAACCACATACTGGAGATATCTCACCAATCTCGGTTTACGATTTCAAATTTACAAATATGATTCATGGCACCCAATTCAATCAGTGACTTTTGTCTGTAGAATCCTGTTTCCTGACCTGCCTCTGAATGGTGGCCCAATCCTGATATTTCGGGAGATGTCGAGTAGAGACGGCCTGCCAAAGACAACGGAGGAGGCCCAGAAATTCTTCCAGCAGCCAACCAGGGAGATGGAGGAGGAGAGTATCAGGTAGGCATGGCAACACCATGGTAACAGCTGTTGTCCAGAGAACAGAAACTTGTTCCACACCATAGCAACTAATGGTGGTAAATGATAAGGGAAAAAACAGCTGAAAGAGATCATAGCAATCCGCCCAATGCCTTGATTGTAAGATTTTTATGTTGTCTGATTTGACGTGTTGCCTGAAAATAGCCTTCAGATCAAAGAATTGTATCAAGACCCTTATCCTTTGTCTCAAGACCCTTATCCTTTAGTCACATCATATATTGCCAGTGGACCTATTTGACCTGTACATCTGTAGTCACATCATATATTGCCAGTGGACCTATTTGACCTGTACATCTGTAGTCACATCATATATTGCCAGTGGACCTATTTGACCTGTACATCTGTAGTCACATCATATATTGCCAGTGGATCTATTTGACCTGTACATCTGTAGTCACATCATATATTGCCAGGGGACTACTGTTTGACCTGTACATGTGTAGTCACATCATATATTGCCAGTGGACCTATTTGACCTGTACATCTGTAGTAACATCATATATTGCCAGTGGACCTATTTGACCTGTACATCTGTAGTCACATCATATATTGCCAGTGGACTTCTGTTTGACCTGTACATGTGTAGTCACATCATATATTGCTAGTCGACCTCTGTTTGACCTGTACATGTGTAGTCACATCATATATTGCCAGTGGACTTCTGTTTGACCTGTACATCTGTAGTCACATCATATATTGCTAGTCGACCTCTGTTTGACCTGTACATGTGTAGTCACATCATATATTGCCAGTGGACCTCTGTTTGACCTGTACATGTGTAGTCACATCATATATTGCCAGTGGACCTATTTGACCTGTACATCTGTAGTCACATCATATATTGCCAGTGGACTTCTGTTTGACCTGTACATGTGTAGTCACATCATATATTGCTAGTCGACCTCTGTTTGACCTGTACATGTGTAGTCACATCATATATTGCCAGTGGACTTCTGTTTGACCTGTACATCTGTAGTCACATCATATATTGCTAGTCGACCTCTGTTTGACCTGTACATGTGTAGTCACATCATATATTGCCAGTGGACCTCTGTTTGACCTGTACATGTGTAGTCACATCATATATTGCCAGTGGACCTCTGTTTGACCTGTACATGTCTAGTCACATCATATAATGCCAGTGGACCTGTTTGACCTGTACATGTGTAGTCACATCATATATTGCCAGTGGACCTCTGTTTGACCTGTACATCTGTAGTCACATCACATATTGCCAGTGGACCTCTGTTTGACCTGTACATCTGTAGTCACATCATATATTGCCATTGGACGTCTGTTTGACCTGTACATCTGTAGTCACATCATATATTGCCAGTGGACCTCTGTTTGACCTGTACATCTGTAGTCACATCATATATTGCCATTGCGTCCTGTTTGACCTGTACATCTGTAGTCACATGATTGCCAGTGGACCTCTGTTTGACCTGTACATCTGTAGTCACATGTTTGACCTGTACATCTGTAGTCACATCATATATTGCCAGTGGACCTCTGTTTGACCTGTACATCTGTAGTCACATCATATATTGCCAGTGGACCTCTGTTTGACCTGTACATCTGTAGTCACATCATATATTGCCATTGGACGTCTGTTTGACCTGTACATCTGTAGTCACATCATATATTGCCAGTGGACCTCTGTTTGACCTGTACATCTGTAGTCACATCATATATTGCCAGTGGACCTCTGTTTGACCTGTACATCTGTAGTCACATCAGATATTGCCAGTGGACCTCTGTTTGACCTGTACATCTGTAGTCACATCATATATTGCCAGTGGACCTCTGTTTGACCTGTACATCTGTAGTCACATCATATATTGCCAGTGGACCTCTGTTTGACCTGTACATCTGTAGTCACATCATATATTGCCAGTGGACCTCTGTTTGACCTGTACATCTGTAGTCACATCATATATTGCCAGTGGACCTCTGTTTGACCTGTACATCTGTAGTCACATCATATATTGCCAGTGGACCTCTGTTTGACCTGTACATCTGTAGTCACATTTATATATGATACCTCAATATATTACATAAATACACAATGCCAATTAGAAAGTGGTCAAATGTAACATATGTAATATTTGTCATTTCTCAGTAAAGTACAGAAGTGTGGTCCCATTTGTAACATATGTAATATTTGGCATTTTTCTAACTTGTTATTGTGTATTCGTAGCTTTCAGCCGTGGGAGTTGGCCAATTGTATTAGAATCTGTACTTTACTGAGAAAGTGTAATCACAAATATAGCATATGTTACCATATATTCCAGTGAGATAATGACGGCAGCCGGCCTGCTGTACCCGCTGCTGCTGCCTAAGATCTACCCACCTCTGTTCGACCTGTATGCCTTGTACAATGACAAGGATGACGAGAAGTACTGGGAGAGGGTGCTGAAACTGAACAGACAGGGAGACATGGCACTCATGGCCTACCTCGGGATAGAACAGTGAGATCCCTTGTTGATATAGCAGCTGTAGTAACAGATACATTTTAGCTGGATGATTAAGAGAGGTGGGGTAGCCTAGTGGTTAAAGCGTTCACTCATCATGCCGAAGACCCAGGTTCGATTCCCCACATGGGTACAATGTGTAAAGGCCATTTCTGGTGTCCCTCGCTGTGATATTGCTGGAATATTGCTAAAGGCGGCGAAAACTAAATTCACTTACTCACAATTGAAATGTCAGATGTACTATTTCTGATTTCCTGGACATTATCTCTCCATACATACATACATACTGAAGTTATGTCATTTATTATGCATAAACATTGGAATCCTCGTTTTTATGTCATTTTTGTTCAGTTCCAAATAAATATATGTTTGATTGTGATTTGTGAAAATGGTTCAGCTTTATAACTACCCATTTTGCACAGATTCTGTTATAATGAAATGCTCTCAAGTCAGTAAAGTGGACGGGGTTGTGGTTGAGTTGATATCAATATTTGTTTCTTTTAAACAGGAAGTTCTGGTTGATAGATGAGGAACTCTTCCATGATAAAGGACAGGTAGGATATGCTAGTAACCTAATATTGTTGTTGCATGTCCAGAGGTACAGATAAGCTGCGTATCTGCGTAAATTACGCAAATATTTATGTGAAAACTCAATTCTTATTTAGTCTATTGCGTACAAGTACGCTTGAATTTGTGTAAATGCTCAATAAATTTTATCTTACATGAGTACACACAAAAATGTCGAATCTTAGCTTGCGTACCGGTGCATAGATAAAATAACAGGTATATTCAGAGATTCTATTTCAACACATGAACTTGGCAACTTTCAGTCTTTCTTTTCGTTTCTCACATTACAGATACAATATAAATAGCATTTAAACTTTATTATATTTTTACAATTAATGGAAAATGGCAAAATACCCAATTGAGTTTGAGTGAGGTGAGTACAATTTAATTGGTTACTCAAAGGAAAATTAAGATACCCAATTGAGATGAACACAAGCGAGTACATAACTCAGTGACCCCAAAAGTTATCTGTAGCTCTGCATGTCAAATATGAGAAATTGTTTTGTGGAAAATGAAAGTTTGGTGGTGAACTAGAAAAGCAGAAATACATTGAAAACAATTTAAGTGCATTTAGCTCTGACTTAATTGGTGACAAGAAATGATTGTGTTACAGAAACTGTCCCAGCTGAGAGACTTCTGCTATGCATCTGCCGTGGACACTCTTCAACAATTGAGGTAAAAACTACATGCATCATCATGCATTTAGGGCTGGGTGCTGTTGTACAAAATAGAACAGTGTAAATATACTACACAATCTCATTAAAATCAGATCCTTTTCTCCAATATGATACCTCACTGCATGTCAACCAAACCACGTTTCCATGGGAGGTTGTGCCAGGTGCCACCTCAGCCAATCAGAGTCAAGGTTTCTGCCAAAGCCTTCGGGCAAACTTTTCTGATTTTTGTATGTTAAAAACAAATAACCCTGAGGAGTTACAACAGCAAAAGAAGTGAAGTTGCACTATATAGTTGTGGATGCATTCTGCAGATTCTGAGCAGCAAGTCACCTTTACCTAAAAGGGTGTTTTGTATGTGAGGTGGTGTTTTTCCTATGTTACCCATGAAAATCTGGGTTAGCAACTCATGCTTGTCGTAAGGTGCAACTAACGGGATCGGGTGGTCATATTCGCTGATGCAGTTGACATGTCATCGTGTCCCAGTTGAGCAGGTTGATGCTCATGCTGTTGATCACTGGATCATGTGGTCGAGACTTGAGTATTTACAGACTGCCACCATAAACTGGAATATTGCTGAGTGTGGCATTAGACAACAAACAAACAAAATCTTGTGCTAAGATGGAAACTTTCCATTTGAGGTGGAAAAGAAATAAAGTTGATTTAGATACTGACATCTGATTTCTTCCCAATTCCTTTTCTGTCATCACCTGGTGCAACCTTCCATATAAGTGTCCACAGATTTTTGTGCAGAGAGGTATCAAAGTAAAACAACTCATTTTGATACAGCTGCATTGTTAATAAATTCATCACATTCTGACTTCCTGTGAACAGAATATGTGTCTACATATATTCTTTTCAGGAAGCCCACATGGGTACAATGGGTGAAGCCCGTTTCTGGTGTCCCCCACCGTGATATTGCTGGAATATTGCTAAAAGTGGCTTAAACCAAACTCACTCACTCACCTCTTTTCATGAAGAGCCTTATGTCTATCCTGTAACATTCTATGCAAGTAGATCATTTTCAGAGACAGTACTGTACCAGATCAACATACAACAGTGCAATTGCAGGTATGTACAGAGTTACTTACCCTCGAGTGCTCTTCCAGTTAGGGTGATAAAGTTGTTTCATCTATGTTTCCAGTACAGCGTTCAGCCCCATTGAAAAGCTAAAGGTTCTTGAGAAGACATTCCTGGAGATCACATCGGTAATTGAATTTTCAACAAAGACTCAGCTCATCTTAAAAGGAAAAATGTTATTGTAGCTGTTTGTTGTGGAATACTTAGCTATAGATCCTGCTTAAAAGTAACTGATATCTGTTACTTGTAAGCAGGATCTATATCGATGTATTGGTTGTGTAATCGTAGCTATAGATCTATATCGATGTATTGGTTGTGGAATCACGTAGCTATAGATCTATATCGATGTATTGGTTGTGGAATAACGTAGCTATAGATCTATATCGATGTATTGGTTGTGGAATCGTAGCTATAGATCTATATCGATGTATTGGTTGTGGAATCGTAGCTATAGATCCTGCTTAAAAGTAACCAAATATCAGTTACTTTTAAGCAGGATCTATATCGATGTATTGGTTGTGTAATAATGTAGCTATAGATATTGCTTAAAAGTAACTGATATCTGGTTTATACTTCCCTGATAGCTCTAGTTACTATCACTGAAAAATTTCTGTTTATGATAAATGAACCCGTGAAGGTCCGGGTTAAAATATTGATCTTCAGTAACCCATGCTTGTTGTAAGAGGCGATTAACGGGATCAGGTGGTCAGGCTCGCTGACTTGGTTGACACATGTCATCGGTTCCCAATTGCGCAGATCGATGTTCATGCTGTTGATCACTGGATTGTCTGGTCCAGAAGCGATTATTTACAGACCGCCACCATATAGCTGGAATATTGCTGAGTGCGGCGTAAAACTAAACTCACTCAGTTATGATAAATGACTTAAGGGCTGATGAGTGGTTACTGCTTTTGATACTGTCCAGTGTGTCGACTAGACTAACGTTTATTCTCTGAATGTATATAATGTTGATAGTAACAAATAAACCCTTTGAATTGAAAAGGAGTCCCAGTGAGACGGGAGATTCAGAACCTGAAGAAATCTAGACTTGCTTTAGCATTGCAGGGAGGGTTAGGCAGTAGGGAAAACAATGTGGTTCAGGGACTGTAAGACAGACCATGTGTCGACTTAAACACGTGATTACTGGCTGCATGGTTTGAGGAGAGAACTTGGAAGTGAAGTGTTAACCACTAAGAACCTGTGTGTTCCAGACGGTCCAGTCATCCCTCAGTGAGGATCACATGTGGTGCATGGATGACCTCTTCCCCATCTTCCAGTTCGTTGTCGTTCGGTCAAAGATCCGCCATCTGGGTGCGGAGATCCACATGATAGATGATCTGATAGAACACCACATGGAGTATGGAGAACTGGGCCTCATGTCCACCACACTCAAGGTTAGGATGAGACTATGATTGTATTGTCCTCAGAGACTGCTACAATGATGTTTAACACTAGACAATATGACAGTTATATCACAGTTGTGTGTAAAGGAGTCCAAGCTGTTGGACATGAGCAGCAGTATTAGGATATACCTGTAATGACACATATCAGCTTATCAACCAGGATGCACATTGTGATTTTTCGTTTCCCTTTTAGTCAACACTCACAATTGGAGGGCACTTCGGGGAATATTCTGCTTACCGTAATAATTTCATCCAGGCAAATAAAGTGTTATCCTTTTCACTCATATCTTTATATTTTATGATTTATGATAATGTAGGTGTAAAATGAGGTGTGGTTCATTTGTGCCATGATATATACATATTTAACTTAGTATACTCAGCCATTTGTTTTAAGTATGATCTTAGAAAGTGATGTAAATATTCATGATTTTGAGACTGCATTATGCTCTGGTTTTTAATGATGTTTGTGTTTATCTCTCTGTTCCAGGCATGCTACTTCCAAATTCAAAATGAAAAGATGCCACATCACTGATGTTGTTTGCAGTAGACGTGTGTTAAATTCATTATCACACCCCAGGATGAAGCCTCATTGAAATGTCGGTGCTGTCACAGTAGCCTACATAGTCCATGCTGTCATTATGCAATACGATGCCTGATGACGAGTTCCTGGCTGCCTATATCCAGTACGAACAAGTCTGTGTCTGTGTCTGTGTCACATCATCAGAATTACCTCGAGAAGGAAGTCCGTTGTCTGTTCACATGTGTCGCTCCTGTCTCACATGAAGAAAATACATCTCTTACATTTCTGCCAACATCTCAGGGTGTGAGACCTTGTTTAACCACATGAAATTAATTAATAGCTTCTCATCTTCATATTCACAAAAAGACAAGAGAGGCACTTTGTTTTTTAACTAAAAAAATGTTAATGTCTGTTAATTAACTGTCAGTATAGATTATTCACGTAAGGTGTCAATTATTATATGGCTGGACTATATATATAGTTTATTTCCTCAAGTAAAGACAGAAGGGAAGAGATAGCGATTTCCTACATTTTTATGACAATGACTTCATCATAGGAACCAGTCACATTGCTCCAAAGTGGAATTCTACAGTAGACTTGGTCCTTTATTCCTCCAGCTTGTCCTCAGTGTGGTAAAGACTTGGACTAGGGCTGGGTTCTCCTGGAAGGTATCTCCACACTGTCTGACCTAGTGTGTGATCATACCCTCACAGTTTTTTATGCTGCCGTTATGTCTGATCATCTGCCAAAAAGAACTTGTTCATTCATTTTTCAATAACTTAAATAGACTGCTATAGTTTTATCCATCTGCTTTAGTACGTCTGCCATATCGTCATGAATAGCTTCAAAATTGCTGATGCAGCATTAGCCAATACTCACTCACGTCTGCCATGAAGCATAAATACATGGCCTTGACCTTTAGAAGCGTAGTAGTTAAATCAAACTTTATTAGACACTTGATGAATGCATAGCTTAATCCCTGACTGCTGATATTGCAAAGTCACACAAGGTCACACTGATAGCTTTAAGAAGTTCACAATATTGTGGCAGTGTCAGTTTTTAGTCACCAGTCTTTCTCTCTGTACATATCACTACACTGACGAGGTGTAATTTGATTTGTTTATATGGTATATCTCGCCTGTATCTGATATTACGGATAGAAAAGTAATTTAGGTCATCAGACGTTTGAAATGATCAAAGTAGTAGTAGAAGTAGTTGTAGTAATGTAGTATGACATTACCCATGCAATGTAACTCCCCCTATTTAATGACTTACCCAATCAGAACCGTGGTTGTTTCCTAACTGATGAAGGACAGCTTCATGAGCACCAGCCAAATCTATCTGGCATTTAAAGGTCAATAACTTAACTCTGTGCCAACTCCAGCTGTGATGAGATAGTAGAGGGATGGTTGTTGTTTAGCCGCTGCACTCAGCATTATTCCAGCTATTTGACCAGCAGTCTGTAAATAATCGAGTCTGGACCAGACAGTCCAGTGATCAACACCATAACATCAATCTACGCAGTGGATGAGATAGTTAGGTTATCTTGTGGCACAATGGTGCGCTGAGCCTATTTGTGTCACTGGCTACCATGATCCACCATTGTTGGGTTCGAATCCTAGATTTGTATCAAGTTAGACCCTTGTAATGACCAATACTCCAAAGTGATGTATGTCACTCACTGTGTCACACTGGACTTGTATAAAGCTGACTTGCTGTGATATGACAGAAGTACATGGGAGTAGGACTAATATTGCTACATATACACAATATAGTGGGGCTCTAAGGGCTGCACTTGTTGTTAGTATATTGTGAGTATAGTTACAATCATCTTGGCATCACTTTGTGGAATCTATACTCTTCTGTATAGATTGAGTTGGGTTTTACTCTTTAAGCAATATTCCTGCATTCCTCCTCTGGGGGAGGCCAGAAATGGGCTTGACACATTGTACCCGTGCAGGGAATTGAACCCGTTCTCATGTGTGAGCAAATGCTTAAACCACTTGGCTACCCCACCACCCATAAATATATAGTGCTGTGATTTCTTAGTGCCATAGGAATGTTGATATTTGTTTCGTGTTCTTCAGGCTTGTTGATATGTGCGCAATGTGCATGGTTGGGAGCTGTATATAGTGCTTTTATATATGTAAGTTGTGTTAACAGTAAATTCTTGTTTCATCCATGTAACACCAAACCACAGGGTAATTCCTGTTTGATTAAGGTGACTTGTGTCACTGAATAGGGTTACAGATTTGACTGTTCATGTTCCAAGAGGTGATATGGACGAACCCGTGACCTCAGGGGATACAATACATAGTGCAGAGCTGCAGCCTTCAGACATGCCAGAACTTATGTTTATGGGTTTGAATCTCAGGTTTTCCCTGATTAAGGTTTAAAGGTTTACCTGCACCAGTGTAATTTGGTACAAGTTAAAGACTTGCATCATTTCTGGTTTTATCCTTCAGGTGCCACACCATCACATGCAAATACAATACAGTTTATAACGGTAATAAACCCAACTCACTCACTCACTCAGGACAGGCTCACACTGAGGCCCAGTTAACGAAGGCATGTCTTCAACATGTTAGGATTACTCTTGACAAACACAGCATTATTGAGCTGATGTCTAGTTCAAATCATTGTTTTCCATATGGTTGTGTTCAATCTCTGCAAGACTGAGTTTACTGCAGTATCATTTATCAAAGTTGGGAAAGGATTGTTAAAAATGCACAAGCATCAGTTTTGCATCCAATGAACAAGCAATACTGTTAACAATATTGTAGTTGAGATAAATTTGTTCTTTGAAGATGTATGTACCTTCCTTCCATATTTTAGTGAATGTTGTCAACAACACAGGTGCTTACAAACATATAGTGATTTTTTCTGGGTTACATCTTTTTTTTATTCTCGAACTGAATAAAAAGAATAAAAAGAAGATGTAACCCAGAAAAAATCTCTATGTTCATCAAATATCATCTTCTAAAATGCCAATCAAGCATTTAAACATATAGTGATATAAAACCTACAGGTTTGTTATTAGAGCTCATGATTTCACAATGAAAAATGTGTTTGAAATAAGAGGATAGCTAATCCATCACTTCTCGCTTCCTGTTAGGTGGAATAATGTTGTATATATTCTTTGAAAATAGGAAATATTTGATAAAAATTATTTCACAGATTCAAATGGGTTATCATCAGTTTCTCCATAATGGAAATTGTCCCCAGCCTATTGAATCGCCTCTAACATTAAAGTAGCACCTGCCATTCTGAAATACCATTCAGTTTGGCATAAATCCAGCTCATTCACTTCAGGAGTATGCTGTTTTATATATTAGTGCTTGTGATATATTTTCAGATAATAGACAGCAGATTGAAGAAGTGTTGACCATATCCACTTAGTTGTAGCATATACATTACCAATATTTATTTTTATCAAATTGTTACTATTTTTATTTGTTTTGTAGATTAGACGTCATGAATGTGTGATTGGTATCACTACTGACCTGTGGATAATGGCTATTCAGTGTTATTGTGTTTTCAACCAGGACAAAATAGAATGACCTGCCTATTGGAAGTGTCAAATGTTTAATACAATGTCTTTGTATCAAAGTTAAAAGATGTGTTGAAAGAGATGACACCTAACCCTCTTTGTTGTTCATGTGCTTGCTATCTGAAATATTGGACTTATGCCCTGATAAAGTATGTAACTATTACTGACCTGAATGAAAAAGGGGAAACATTTAACCTGTCAACCTTAGTAAAAGCAAGTCTGTGACCCAAGAAAAACATTTTCCTACATGGATTGCAATATGTTTGTAATTTCATTATCTACACCTAAAACATTGGCTTGGGTCAAAGACTAGCATATTTTCAAGTATTACCCCCAAAACTCCTACAAAATCTCGAAAAATCAATTTCAATATATTTTAGACACTGGTGTTGTTTAAGTCCAGAATATACAAGTGTTAAAATATACTGAACATCACTGAAATCGCAACAGTCTAAATTTGTCCATATTTTCATCAAGATGGATTTCAGCATGACAATGATCAATGAGTATAACTAACATGAAGTCCAAGGGCATGTCCAGTTGAAAAAGTGCTTTAGAAACAAATTCCTGTCCACAGTATGACTCTTAATTTCAAAATGCATCAACATGCAGCCACGCCATGAAAAAAGCGCGAATTTCATTCTGAAATCATACTGACTGTGACATTAAAAGCAGGTGTATGAGAACCGATTCTCATTGCTTCACTAACGATTGTGAAACGAGGACAGAGATGCCGAGGTTAACACCTCACGAAAGAGAACGTGCACTAGGCCTGATTCAGGTTGGCACCAGCAGCAGGGATATTGCTCGACAACTTGGACTTGGCCACTCCACCATCGTTAGGCTTCATAGACGACATCAGTAGACAGGCAGCACCCATGACCTTCAATGACCTTGGCAACAACGTGTTCCGACGTTCCATCAGGATTGACCATGTCCATATCAGTGATTGAACACTGCCGACTGCCAAGACTGCAGCACTAGTGCAAGGTTGACGTGGGGGTCATCAGCGCTGACTCCATGCGACGCCGTCTACACGCTACAGGGCTCCATGCTCGACTTCCTTACGTTGGACCAATTCTGACTGACAGACACCGTAATGAGCGTATACAATGGGCTAGCAGGCATTTTCAGTAAAGGTTGCAACAATGGCATGGTGTGGTAGTCACTGACGAGTCACGTCTTCATCTACGTAATGCTGACGGCCGATTACGTGATTGGCGTAGAGGTGGTGAACGTTATGCTGATGAGTGTGTGGTTCAGACAGACCTTTGGGTGGTGGGAGTGTCATGGTCTGGGGTGGAATAAATTACAATGACAGGACTGCCTTCATGTCTGTCAAGGGAGAGTTAATACCCATTTATTCTTCAGAATCACATCGCATATGTCTTCAATCACCACCAAGATGTCCATACTTTTCAACAGGACAACGCACGGGCACACACAACAAGACTTTCAATGCAGTAGCTGGCCCAGCAACACATCCAGGTTATTCATTGGCATTGTACGAAATAAGGCCCGTCCGACTGACCGAATCGGGCTAGATTTCTGCCGGACGGTCTAATTTTACAGCTAGCCAGCCCGATGGACGGGTGAAAAAGAATATTCCGATAACATGCCCACTGGCACTGACTGGTTAAATCTCTTCTGGGCAGAAGTGGAATGCCATCCTCAAGAACTCTATTTGGACGCTTATTGACTCAATGAGGAGACGTTGAACTGCATGTGTCAATGCAAATGGCGGTCACACGCGATATTGACTTTTCCATTTGCCCCCACGGTGTTTGATCCTTTCTGACTGTGGAACATTTCAATGAATGAGCGTCTTTTCTGTGTTGTTGTTTTTGTCAGTCGTCCATCTGTTATTATCCACTCAAAAAATATCAATTCCTTACACGTGCTTTTAATAATCTGAACTTTTATAAGTAGTGCGTTTTCAATGTTCTATATATTTGAGGTATCGTTATCTTCCATATCACATGTTTTTCTCCTTTCTTTAATTATGCCGATCCAGTTTGCCAAGCAGGCCATGTTTGTGCCCATGGTATGACTTAAAATTGTGTATCAGGACATATCATTTATTGTGTATTCAGCTTAATATGTTACAAACTAGAACATGCGTGTTACAATTATTTGTTTGTTTATACTTTTGTATACAACAAGAGGTCACCTGTTTTGTATGACATTTGTCCCTTGAATATACGAAAGCCTAATGCTGCCACATTTGTTGCATGAAATATTTTTTCAGCGAAATTTCTTGTTGCTTCGATTATGAATACTTCCAAGCACAGTCAAAATAATCGAAGCAATGAGACATTTTGCTGAAACAAATTAGGCTTTCGTATGAATACAGTGTCAGCAGATAGTATTTCTATGCTGGTCTCTTAGCTGCAATGGGGGTGGTGGGGAAGCCTAGTGGTTAAAGTGTTGGCTCGTCATGCCGAAGACCAGGGTTTGATTCCCCACATGGGTACAATGTGTGAAGCCCATTTCTGGTGTTCCCCGCCGTGATATTGCTGGAATATTGCTAAAAGTGGCGTAAAACTAAACTCACTCACTCACTTAGCTGCAATGGTAGTTTGGAGAACAATGAACTGTGTATGACAGTCACACCTGCT